CTCCTGGTATGCAGCAGTGAGTTACTCAGCTGTTATGCAACCCACTACTGTAGGGCTGGGAATGTCCCCTGTCTGAAAACACTGGGCAGCTGCTGCCAGTCAGTGTAGACAATATAAAGCAAGGGTTTGACTCTGTATAAGGCAGATTTCTCAGTTCCTTTCTTAGTGCTAGATACTTGCCACCCTTGAATCCTTGTGGAGGAAGGGCAGAGTATAAATTCAAAAAAACAAATAAGCAATAAGTAATGCTGTTTCTCTCTCTCTCTCTCGTTCCGATTCACCAAATGCCACCCAAGCTGTGACCTCAGAGTTGTCCCTGAGCCATCTAGATCCCCTAGTTGTCTGTGGGAGATGGCAACACAACCCTTGTTCTGAAACAATCAAAGCCTCCCATGAAATGAGCAAACAAATTAAACCCAGATTATGGAAATTACAGAAGCCTTGCTGTTTTATGCAATGCTTATTAGAGATCCAATTATTTTGGGGATAATTTAAGGCTGCCTCTTTCCCTGTTGAACTGGCTCACCTGTTGAAAGCTGATGAGCTCTTGAGATGGATCAGACCCTGCTAATGTACGTTGACAGTAAATTATGAAAACAATAATCGTGGTTCACCGGCCCCCTTTTGTGGAAAACTGTTTATTCTGATTTCAGTGCCAGCTGTCTCAAAGTTTAATTTAAGTGCTAGCTCGAGGCGAGACATTTGGAATACTAGTTGAGAGTGTTTTATAGCCCCAGCAATATGTTTTACTAACCTCAAATACTATGGTGATGATGATTTTAATGGGAAGTATAATTTGTGTGCTGGGGTTTTGGGGTGAGCTTTGATTTACCCAGAAATAGGCACATGGTTGGGGGTGGGGTGGGGAAATACTTCGTGGTTTCTGACTTAACTAGCTGCCAAATCTGAGATCAAATGAAGGAGTGAGCCACAGGGGGTGGTGGAGGGGGTGGCAGAAGGAGAGAGCTTCAACCTGAAAAGCGAAGGCATAGCAAATCATTTACCACACTACCTAGAGCTTAATGATAGATGGCTGTGCAAGCAGGACAGGTGGCCACGAGGGAGGGGGAAAGCTGGGCGGAGGGGCCATCAAAGCAAAACTTAAACTGGAAAGCCTGAAGAAGTGCTCCAACTCAATACTAGGAACATGGGAAGTCAGGCCAATGGCCCACCTAAGCTCCATACTGTCTACACTGACTGGCAGAAGCTCTTGTAATACCAGAGCCTAGGGGCAGCCACCAAAGCTGAATGCAGGAAAATTCAGGAGAGTCAAAGGAGGCATTTCTTTGCATAGAACAGAGTCAAACTCCCAGGAGATGTAATGTTGACTTGAAAAGAGCATTAGACAAAATCCACAGCCACAATGTTTTCTTCATTATTGGAGACAATAGGCCTTTCAGTACCAGTTACTGTGAATCACAAGTGGGGAGAGCACACTATCATACTCTCCAACATTCCACCATACTCTCCCACCCCCCAACTGACCCACCTCAACCACCCCCCTTCAGAGCATTTCCTTTCAGAAGAAGGGTGAGACACAATAGGACACCACACACATGCCCTCCAGAGTCCTGAGTAGACCCCTTAATCCTGATTTTATTTTATTCCTTGGTAGATTTACAAAAAGCAAAACACAAACCAATCAACAAATTTTAGAAAGGGGCAAGATTAGACATGGATGCACGAAGTATTAGAAAAAAGGACAAGACTCCTTGTGCTCCGCTCTAGTCCCCTTTCTTCCTGCCCATCTGCCTGCCCCTCAGTGTTGTCGTGCCACACAGGGCTGGGCTGCAGCAACAACAGAAGCCTCTCTTCCTCCTCACCTGCTCTCCAGCAACCGCTATGAGCTGCCCAAGGGAGGAGGTTGGCAGCAGTGGCCATGGAGAGGCAACAGGATGTTCCCTCACAGCCACGGCCACTCCAGGCAAGCACTGGTTCATCCTCCTCCCCAAGCTCAGTGCTGGCGCTGGCAGGGGAAATAGGGATATAGGGTTCTCTCCAAAGTAGAATAGGTGGCCACACAAGACTCTTCTGTACCACATCCATGAAAACTATAATTCATATTTTGGGTTTTTTTTATAGGGTTCAGGTCTATGCTATGATCCGTCTATCATACTTAGAAGTTGAGTAGTGGGGTGTCAGTTTCATCAGCCCTGTGTTGGAGTATGCAAGAAGGTGGATCCTTTCTTAAATAATCTTGTTTCACCAGACCAGTGGACTTTGTAGCCATTCTTATTTATGAACACACTGGGTAGAATGTTTGATCACCCCCACCAATACATTTTGAGTTGAAGCATCCTGATGGGAACTTGGAGTGGGGGAAAAAACACACTTAAATCAAAACCACACCTCCAAGGCACCCTGAAAAGGCAATTAAAGTCGTTTCCCCATGTACAGCAATGATAATGTTTCCTAAATGCTCCTAATTTTCAACATCTGTTATGCCTTGTCAGGAGTTCTGCTCCCCCACCCCCAAGACAATTTTTAAAGATTTCTGCCAATGTAATTTAATTTAAAGCTTTTAATGTCAACTCAACGGGTCATGCAACTTTCCCCACGTCTGGGTTTGCCGCATGGAGACAAGGCAAGAAGTATGATGAATGCTTTTCGGCGGAGGATTTTTATTCAGAGCAAATTGCAATGGCATCTTGTTTCATTATTTGCAAAGCGTGCTTTGAAAACATTGCACACTTCCCCTGTTCTCTTACATGTGCACACAGCACCCGATATTTGCAAGCCGTTTTATTGGTCTGGTGAGTTATTTGCAGTTCTCCTGCATTGCAGACAGTAATTCTCAACCAACGGCAATTATTTGCAAAGTGCTATTGTAACTGTTCCTCCGCTGTCTGCGGAACTGTTTGCTAAACAATAAACTCAATCATGCATTCATTTCAGCAAACGTTGCCCTAAGCGAGTGAGCGGACACAATATTGCTCCTCATTTCAGACTCGGCCACTGAGAAATGTGCCTTGGTAGCCTTCAAACCACCACAGAAGCGATTAAATCAAGGACCACCAAGCGTGCTGAACGTTACTTGAAAACAAAATGTCCACTGCTCACAAGAAACTTGGCTGGTCTTCTGAAGTGCCTTTCAACTTCCATTCTTCCAAGATTCCTCAGATGTTTCACCTGAGGAGCAACCTCCAAACAGCAAATTTCACTTGAAGCCAAATTTGTAACAATCTTGACCCCTGCAGTCTCTCCCTGAGAAACATCTCTGGTCTTATCAAAACCCATTACTGTTATGACACCCAACATAGCTCCACCCTCGAGGCAGCCCATTGGTCCTCCCTCAGATGGCCTGGCTATAAATACACCCAGGTCCACCTGACCCTGGGTTCAGTTTCCTGACACCCAACCTGTGTTTGTTGTCTGCTGAACCTTGGTTACTCATTCAGGCTCCACACACTCTGTGGACAATATAACAGTTTTATGAAACAAGATTACATCCAGCTTCTAAGCACCAGGTTTCTCTTAATCCAGGGGAAGAGAGGGAGACTCGTTTTTTTGTTTTTTTTGGTGGTGGTTTGTGTGGAAGTCATCCCACTTTCATATCATGTGTGGAAATTTGATGACTCATTCAGGCCTTCCCTACTGGAGTTGGGGAACCCTGTTACAGACCTGTGCTTTAGAGCCCTGACAGCTTGTTGTAGATACACTGGTGGAGGAAGAGGAGTATGGGGGGAGCGCACCACCCCCGGCAGCGTGATCCCGGTGGGGTGCCATCGTGGTTGCTTCCCCACCTGTGCTGGGCACCACGCCCCTGCAGGCGGTGTGCCACACCCCCAGGATGCACGTCACGCCCCCAGGGCACATGCCCCCGGGACAAGCACCAGCCCTGCCCCTGCCTGCTCTCAGCCCCCGGTGCCAGAACATGAAGCTCCACCACTGTGTAGATATCCTTGACTGATGTCATCAATGCATTTGTAGAGCACAAATCCGAAGTCAAGACCGAGCAGAAAATACTCTGTTTCCCACAACTTACTACACCACCCGCAGGTCCGGCTCACTTTTGTCTTGGAATCTCTCTGAAATTGGTTGCCATCAATGGACTGCTAAGTTGGAGACAGCTTCAGCTACTCCTGATTTCAGTTCTCCCTAAAAGAGGGCAAGGGCTGTAGCTCAGTGGTAGAGCATCTGCTTGGCATGCAGAATGTTCCCAATTCAACCCCCTTGCCTGACTCCCTGACTGACACCCTTGAGAGCTGCTGCCAGTCATAGTAGGCAGTATTGAGCTAGTTGGCCTGACATAGGCAGCTTCCTATGTTTCTGCACTCAGAGAGGGGTAACCATCACTAGGCAAGGAATCCAAATAAAGCTGGCAATGTCACAATGTTATATAGTACGTATGCATGGTGCAATCATTCTTGGATTAATATGTGTGTTTCTGGTTGCCACATCTTAACAAGGATATTGTAGAGCTAGGGAAGGCCTGCATCTCAATGGCAGAGCATCTGCTTTGCATGCAGAAGGTCCCAGGTTTGATCCCTAGCATCTCCAGGTAAGACTGGAAGAGATGCCTGTCTGAAATTCTGAGCTAGATGGACTCATGGTCCGGCTCAGTATCTAAGGCAGCTTCTTACATTCCTGGAAGAAAGTCACGCCAATTTGCCGTATGGCTAGCTCTCCCTCCATTTTGGCTTTCGTGCGGACTGGCCTTGGCACTCTCCTCAGCTACCAGCCCTTATTCACCCAGGATTTTTGCTTCAGCTCCTGCATCTCCCAGCATGGAGAGAGAGAGAGAGAGAGAGAGAGAGAGAGAGAGAGAGAGAGAGACTTTGTGGGGCCATTGTGTGTGTCAGCACAGAGGTGGCCCATCTTCTGATGTGGTGACAGGGAATGAAGCTGTGAACCTTTCAGCATCAACCACGCCTGACATCCCTGACCAGCACAGGCTACCAAGGAGAGTCTCCCCCCCCGCCCCAGACGCCTCTTCAACCCGGCAGTCCCTCTCCACTAAAAGAACTCAAAGGTCAATTTTCAATGAAGTTCTTACTTACTTGAATCAATGTCGCCTTGATTCTTTGTGAAGGGTGCAGCAGGCATAAAATGTGATATTGATTCTCGAGATGCAGAGCGTTCCTTTGTTCCTGGCCGTTTCAAAAAATGCAAAGTATTTCTTTCATCCCACTGCAGAGCATGTCACCTTAAACAAACTTGAGGTCAGCACCCTTTCCTGCCATTTCATGTTGCGCTTGCACTGGCTCCTTCTCAGCCCTCCCTCTTTTTTTATATATCAACTCTCTTCTCGCTTATATCTTCCTCTCCTCATTTTTTAAAAGACAGACTCTCTTCCTCTTATCTTCTATTCTAATTTCTGTATTGCCCTCCGCCTCTTGATCTCTGGAGTACTCTTTGGATTCTGATCTAATTTATCATATCCACCTCTCTCCACGATGCTGTGGCTCTTACCCATCCTTTGACACAGAAACTCTTTCCCACCTGATTCCCTGTTGAGTTTTAACCATTTATTGCCAGCCTCTCCACAAAATCTGCTTGACAGTAAACCCAGAAAACTTCTCCCCCTCCCCCCACTGCAATAGGACCTCTTTGCACAGTTTTTCATGTAAGGTTCTCAGTTTTGTTTCTCCAGGTGAAAAGGCTTGGAGACAAGGCATCGAAAGATTGCCTTTACCCACGTGAAATTGCCCACACCTTAAATTAGCATCAGAGGCTCTGCTGGAGAGTCCACAGTCTTCAGAGGGGAGACAGGAGGCAACCTTTGACAGGGCCTTTTCAGTGGTAGCACTCTGCTTTTTCTTAGAGCTCAGTTTCCATCCCTAACATCATCAGAAAGGGCTGGGGAAACCTGGAGAGCCTTTGCCAGTCAAATCAAATCAAATACCCTTATTGGCATCACAGTATAAAACACTTCAGGTCACTGGGATATCCTTTGCCAGTCAGTGTCGATAATACTGAGCTAGATGGACCAATGGTCTGACTTGGTACATGGCCGATTCCTATGTTTCTAAATTCAGGTGTAACCTGATCTGATAGGTGCCTTCTAGTCTAATGTGCAGGTCAGAACTTAGGTCACATTTGCACCGTACATTTAAAACACTCTCGTACCAATTTAAAAGTCATAATAGCTGTCAGGATAGGACAGGAGACTACTCTCTGCACTTTCCAAAAGCAGTTGAATACACATTTGTTCTGCTAGGCATTCCTAGCTGGATAAAAAAAGGTAATAATAATAATAATAATAATAATAATAATAATAATAATATATTATTATTCCCCGCCCATTTGGCTGAGTTTCCCCAGCCACTCTGGGCAGCTTCACCATGAATGTCCTCTTGTTAGGCCTTTAGTCTTGTTTTTTAACTGCTTTTAATTATCTGATATGTCAATCGCCTTGAGATGGTGGTTTAGAAGGCAATTAATAAATCAATGGTAATAGTAATAATAATAATAATAATAATAATAATAATAATAATAATGGACCCAATCCATTCTGGTTTAGTCTCCATTCACCTTTCTGCCGAGTTATGCAAGGGGTGGAAATGTGATCAAAGGAGCAGGGCTGGATCAAGAGATTTTGCTGCCTGAAGCAAATGATGAAATGATGCCCTGCCATTCCACATACAGAAGTGGACTGGACTGGCAGTTGCATCAGCACTGTGGTGGGATAGCCTTCTTTACTACCCCTGAGGGCAGCAGGCTGACTTAGTACATTCAGGGCAGGACACACAGCACATTTAACTCTTTCCTCCAAAATCTTGTTGCTGCTCCTTGTCACCCATCATCTTCCACCTGAGGCAGCTGTCTTATTCTGCCTCCTGGCAGGGCCGGCCCTGCTGAGGATGAGGAAGGAAGCCAGCAGACAGTGCCAGACCCTGGACTGGTTGTAAGTAGGAAAGCAGGCAGGTGGAGAACTGGCTGAAGGCAGACTGAGGTTATTGGGGCAGTGCCCCATTTGCCCTGTTGCAGTAGCCTCCACCAAATGAACTGATGCACCCTTTCCTACTTAGCAACTCAGTTGTTTTTTTCCTCGGTGGTTTATATAAGGTTAACATAGTAGGAAAAATACAAAAAAAATAAAAATGGATATTTTATATATAGTGGAATTGGGTAGTTAAGAAAAGGGTACAGTTTGCTTGCTACCTCAGGCTTGAAAATTTTTCTTACATACTCCAGCACGAAGAGTATTAAAGCAGAATGTAGTGGAAATGCAATATATGGCAATGAATGTCTCCCAACCAGCAATTTAGCACTGAAGCTGAGGGCAAGCTGCCTGTGCACCGACTTTTAATACCCAGACGATTTGTGGCTGCGCACAGTTCCTGCCTTAGGCCAGAGTTGTGCTGGTCTTCTAATGGGTCTAGTTTGTTTGACTGTCAGAATCGCAGAGGAATGGGGAGCGGAGAAAGGCCCTCATCTTGCAAGCGGTAGAGATAATTAGAAGGTCTGTCACGGGGAGAAGGGGGCCGGAGCGCTTCATGGGCTGTCAAAGGGCGGCACTGGCTTGGGAGAATGTGGAAGAATCTAGGGCACGCAACTGCGGTGTCTTACGCTTTTGCATTTGTGAGCTGCGCTACACAAGTCACTGGCTCGCGTCCCTATGGTTTTGGGAGAGGGCACGGCCACAGAGACCAGGGCAGTGTCCAGCTGCTGCCCCTGGACAACAGCTAAGAGAGGGTGGAAGGGGCGATGCATGGATCTGTTGCCATGGGTGAGCATTAGGCAAAGAGTGGGGGACCACCTCGCTTGCCCAGGGTGGTTTCTGCAATGCCTCAGAGATTTGTGCTTTGTTTGATCTTCAGCCTGTGCCAGCCTGATTATAAGTCGCTTCTGTGGTAGATAACATGCAAAAGAGAATGACATGAGCCTATGAGTCATAGGAACCCAGGAATCTGTCTTATACTGAGTCAGACCTTTGGTCCATCTAGCTCAGTACTGGCTACACCAACTGGCAGCAGCTCACCAGGATTTCAGGCGGGAGTCATTCTCAGCCCTACCAGGAGATGCCAGGAATTGAACCTGCAACCTTTTGTAAGCAAAATGGATGCCCTATCACTACGCTATGACATTTTATATATATATATAAAATGTACCTATTACAAGCAAATCTCTAAAGCAGTTTCTGAACATTGGCTTACCAATGTCTGTTTTGTGAATGACCACTGCTATGTATTTAATTATCGCTGTACTTTTTACATTTCATTTCATATAATTTTTTACTGTCTCCCCCCACCTCACCATGTATATATATTGTTTATTTATTTAATTCATAAAATCTATACACTATTTGATGGCGGTTTTTTTAAAAATAAAAAACCTATTTAAAACGTTTAAAAAATTAAAATCAGCAATCAAATTAAAATCACATTAAAACACACTTCAACATTCTGCATATCTGGGTAGGCTTGTCTGACTGTATATTTATTATATATTTATATACACGGAACTCAATAAATAGGGTTGCCATATTTAAAAAAAAATGACAATCAGGACACAAAAGTGGCTGAGCTTTTTTGGCAAAGTTGCTGAGCTTTTTCGGGTTTTTTTTGCCAAATTCTACACTTCTGACATGGTTGCTATACGTCCGGATTTTCCCAGATATTATGTGGTGGTTCCTGCCTGGACACTGTTTCCCACAGACAAATCCTAGCTATGTCCAGGAAATTCCTCTGATGAAGTGCACTGTAGTCTATGAAATCTAATACAATTATGAATTTGTTAGTCTTTAAGGTGCGACGACACTCTGTCATTTTGATTCAAGTCATGTAATTTTATCAGATTTTTTTTTAAAAAAATGTGATTGCACTTTTATTAAGTTCGTAAGTTCTGCTGGTAAGTTCTGCTTAGGACCCAACAAAGTGTTACTTAGAGTACAACTCTGAGTGGCCCATTGAAATGATCAGACCTAAGTTAGTTATATATGCTAATTTCAATGGGTCTACTCTGAGCAGGACTAGCAATGGATACAATCCAGTATCTGGATCCAAACCCTATACTTTTGCAAGATGCACAAAAACCTGCTTTTCTTTTAATATATATATATATATATATATATATAGAGAGAGAGAGAGAGAGAGAGAGAGAAACTGCTTCTGCCATGATCAATTGCAATGCTGCCTTACAAGCTGACCATTCACTTGTCAGATCTAGGATCATGGTTTGTTGATGCTGTAATTGATTTTTTTTTTTAAAAAAGAAATAAAATACATGGCTCATATTAACGGATAAAATATAGCCTCCGCATGAGAAAACATTACCTTGAAATATTAGCAGTATAATATGTTAATTTTGATGGGAGGATGTGACTTCTGATATATATGGGGAGATGGAAATTTCCCTGCACATTTCCTGGCACTTCCTGTGTCAACATAATTCTTAGGAACTTGCCTGCACTATTTTGTGATGACTTATATGATGATGTATAACAGCTTAAGAGGGTTTAAAATGCAGTATTTTGACTAATGCAGTTTGGTAAATAGCTCACAAGACAATTTTTTCACCACCTTCTTAGTTTTATGAGACAGTCCCGCTAGTCTCCAGTATTGATAATAGCAATTGCCTAGTAAAAAAAATCAGAAACATTCAGGAATGTTGGCAAGCATCTGCATAAACTCATATAGCCATATGAAACGTTATTAGCAAATATAATTATCTTTATGGATACAGTTTGTTCATTTTTGTCTCCCCATCTGTAAAAAAAGTGTTTGTAAGATCCTGAGGGCAGAGACCTAGCTGTGTGCGCGCACACACACTTTTTTCTTTGTTACTGTGCAAAACACTATGTGCATAGATAGACCTATATTCATCATCATCATCATCGGTTCTAAACAAGCTCATATTATCTGGAGGGTTAATAGGGTTTACATTCTTTTTTATACTTCAGCATTTTGAAATTAATTTTTTTGCCCACTGAATTTCCATGAAGACATGCCAAATTTCTGTTAAAGGCTAAGGTGTCCCCCCAAAAATATCTTAAATATTCCCACCCTCTATCCAGCACCAAAAGAGGTCCCCCCCCTTTGAGCAAAAGTTTGTGCATGTGTGTACAGTGGCGTAGCGTGGGGGTGCAGGGGGGGCCGGCCGCACCAGGCGCAACATCTGGGGTTAGGGCAAATCCACAGGTTAGGGGGCGCAAATCCACGGGTTAGGGGGCACAAATCCACGGGTTAGGGGGCGCAAATTACTTGCCTTGCCCTGGGTGCTGACAACCCACGCTACGCCACTGTGTGTGTATGAACACTTTATATTCTTAGAACTTTTGTCATTGTTTTCCTCAGAGCTCCTTGAGAATATTGGTGTGTATAATATTAAAGCTGTATTTACCGAGTTGAAATAAAGAGTGGGGTGCTGATAATGCCAAGGTTGCAGATTTGATTCCTGTTTGGGACAGCTGTATAATTCATGCATTGCAAGGGGGTTGGGTTAAAG